GATTTAACCTGTGTTACGATTTCTCGTTGTTATGACTAAGATTGATTGTTTGTCTCCCTAAGGATAGATTAAAATTAGGATTTACTAGTTGATTGGAATCACCAAATTAGCATAATTATTCATATTATTGGTCAAGAAAGTTGGGCAGAACACCGCTCTCTTTGTTATTTTCATGCGTTGATCTCAATTCGTAAATAGTGTCGCTTGCTTTTAAATGTTTTATGCTTCGTCTTTAAGCTTATAGCGGTAAACAACAGTAATACCATCTCGCTAGTAATTCCTTACAAAGACATTGCTTACTCTGTTATAGTTGCAGAACTTCTCCTTTCTTCAGTATTTAAGAAATATCACCTATCGATTTGATCGATTCAGGCATTATGGCACGTTTCTTTGGGCACGGTGGTCTCGTCTAGTTTATTATGCATAACGTTTATCAGCAGCCCATAACCTCACACAACACTGATTAACGGTAATTGGGATATTTTGTGATTTTGAATGTTAAATGAGGTTGGACTGTTTCAGATTTAAGCCATGACTCTTCTGTACGTCATGGCGGCCGGGATGGGGAGACAGAGATGAGGACTGGTAACTATACCCTAAATATGAGGAAAGGAAATTAAAAGTTTGTAACGGTCAAAATGTCGGTCATGATTGCACGTAAACGTTCATGATAGCACCAATTGTGCCGTCCTTCCTTCGTTTAGCTGTAAAGTTGACTTTTTACCGAACTGTCGCGAATTTATTGCTCTTGCGCAAATAAGTGACCCAGGGTCCGGTTGCCGCTCGTAACTCACGGTACATGTAGAAACCAAGAGATCGGCGATTTTTGCGGTCAGCACTATAAGAGGTAAGCACTATTAGTTGCATTTTGGAACTTTCTTTCCTTCTCTGTTAAAGGTAAGTTCGATGATGTCTGCCGTACGTCGGTAAGCACTCAGTGTACTGGCAGTCACGCATACTCGCCTCCTGGGAAAGGGGACCCTTCACCTGCAGGATGGCTGACCATTGTGATTGGGCCACAGTAGATTACGCCCTGTCGGTCAGGGTATCATATTGTCTTTTAGGGTTAGCCGAGCGTTTATTTCTGTGGAATAGTTGTTGGAGAGAATACTGTCTGTCTCGTGAATGTCAAACAGGCGAGGTTGAACGTCACTGCTGCTTATGCCCCGACAAATTCGTCGAGTGATAGTGACAACGAGGAGGCATTGGTTTCTGCCCGGATGCTTCGGAAAATCACAGAATCACACGTCCCTCATTGTCGCCCACCATCTCTCTTCTCCGGCTTGACAGAGGACCGTTTTCTTTAAGTGACGGTGTTCCCTGTTTCTTCTATTTAATATTAGCAGCGATTACCTCGTAATTTTTAGGCACAGTCTAGTGAATTATTATTCGCAGAATTGCTCAATGAACCTTTAAGTTTATTAGGATTGTATATGGTACGTTAATATTATATCTAATGACATTTATAGCCTTTCACGAAACTTTTTCTGATGAAGAAGAATGAAGTAACGTAGGCTTTTTCAAATATTATTTGTGACATTATTAGGAGGGCTTTAGCAGCTAGTTTAACGTACGTTATTCTACGGTTTATGGCATTACTAGTGAATTTAATTGGATAATTGTCACATACTCTGTTTTTTACTGCGTTCATTATTCATTACTACATTATTATAAAGGCTGCATAACATTACTACCAATTAATTACTACAGAGGTTCAGAGTTTTGCTATTAAAATTTATCAGGGTTGGTAGGTTTATAATAAAGTTAAGTTTCATAGCAATTACTAGAGCTTATTATTAAAGTTACAAGAAAAGTT